AAAGCTGTGTGATGTTAAAACAACACTCATACTCTTTATTTAACACTACACCTGAGATTTTAACACTGGCATTTTTACTGGAATTTGTTTTCTTTGCATTATTTGAGGTCTGAAAGCACTGCATCGCCCTGCCAGCATGCCTAGGTGGGCCCCATGTGGGGAAAAGGAGGGCAGACCATATGGGTCCCATATGGGTCTGTCCGCAGGTTCCACAATGGCCCCACATGGGTACCACTTAGGCATATCTTTTTTGTTATTTTGACCATTTCTCATTTTCTGCAAAGTGTGCATAAACTTTTATTTATGCAAATAAATAATTTTTTTGCTTGGAATTTTGTAGCCACATCGTCAGTAGTTCATAGAACAAAATAACAATGTTCATTTTACTCAAACATATACTATAAAAAGTCAAATCAGAGAATCTGATAATATTAGGTGGTGTCTTCATTTTTTCCAGAGCTTTATTAAATCATTTTGTTGAGGATGTCTGTTAGAAACCAAACCATAGAAAAGTTTTAGGAACTACAGTTTGGATTTTTTTTCCTAACATAAACTGCAGTAAACCTGGAATCACATACTGGTCCTGTGTAAAGTTTCTGGAACGTTGGTCACACTGCGGTGACATGAAGCCTGAACCGCCTGAATGGTTCCGGCTGTCCCTCAGAGGTTTGGATCAGAGGCAGCAAGCGTTGGATGGAATTTTCTTGCTTCCTAGTTTGGCTTCAGGAAAAGAGATTTTGTCGTCACATGATAAGCTCATGATAATTTCAGAATGCGGCGTCTGGATGTAACCCTTTTCTGAAAACGGTTTCAGTTCCTTAAAAAAGAAAAAAAAAATCACTGAAACCATGAACTTTTTTGCAAAGAAATTCCAGCCTTGTGAGTTCAACTGAAACAGCAGATCTCTGATATTTGTCTTGGAAGACTCAGATTTCAGTCGGCTTGTCCAGAATTAATAAAAATGTCAAGCGTCCTTGTTTTGGTATCAACATGGCAAACTAAGCTATTCCTGGAATAATACACGTTCTACATTTTAAGCTAACACTATATGTTCTGCATCCTGTGAGATAAATAAAAGGTCAGGACATATCATCTGTGTGTGCATGGTCCGATAAAGTAATTCCTTAACTTTTTTTTCTAACTGTTTCATCATCAGTCTCCTTAAAGCCTGCATGCAGTTGTTCGTACTGCAGAACAGACCCGTCTTACTTTGCAGGAACTCAAGGAATCAAGCTGAAGCTTTTTGGTTCCCTTCATCTCCCGTGAGTCCTTCCATGAAAATGACTCGTAGCACTGTGGAAAGTAAACAGACTTCAAAGAGGCATGAGAATGGTGTGTGTGCGTGCGTGCGTGCGTGCGTGTGTATTACCAGCTGTGTACGGTGAGGTGACCGATTCCAGATACGTTCAAATCAATCTGATCAGGGGGTTTTTCTGCATTCCTAATGGTGGAGCTGATTTTTATCTGGAGAACAGTCTCACTTAGTGCTCTGTTTCCAGTCACACACACCAAAAACCTTTTTTCTAGTTCATTTTGACTTCCGGTACGCTTGAAATAAAACAACACTAACTTTTCAACAAGAAAAGAAGCTTGTTTTAAATAAACATTTCCTTAATAGTGATGAAAAAGTACTAGTTCAAAGTGAAATAATCTGCCTGTGGAACTAATACTTTTAATCAATATTAGGGAATTATTGATTTAAAAAAGCTCCCGTTTCTTAGTAAAACGGCACTTGTAAGTTTGATTTGTCTCATTTCAAGTGACTAAAGATGCACTAGAATATAGACCAAAAATATTTGTGTTTTTGCAGTGTGTTATTTCTAAAGAGCACCATAAAAACTCATAAACTCACTCAGCCACTCTGGGACGAAAAGCCAACTTGTCTGCATCAACAAATACTTATAACAACCTACACCCACCCAATCTTCTTTCTGAGATATTTAGCTGCTTAAACTCGCTGGACCTGAAGGTTTTGTCTTATTTATCCTTTTCTCTGGAAAATATTTCAGCTTTCTATCTTACTTTGTGTTTTCTTGTACCACGAAACATAACAGAAGTACATTTTCAGAGCTGTCAAGCAATAAGTCCTTGAACTGGAATTGGATGTTTCAGCACAGAGTGGTATACACAAGCATGCAAAGTGGAATCCACCACCATACTGGTGGTTCCCTGGGTGAGGTCAGAGGTCAGTTGTGCTTGAAAGCAGACGACTCAGCAGTCCTCTTTGAGAGGAGGCAGCAGAACTTGTGTAAAACTGACAGAGTACTAAAAGCAGAAATGAGATATGACTCAACACAGCAGTCTACAGGCTTACATGCTCTCCCCAGCTGCTCATCGTTTTAGGGAAACTGATTTTCATTAGCAAGAGGCTGGTTTAAAGAAAATCATGAAACCTTCAGTGACGTAAACATAATTTTGTAAAACAACACTGAAAACATCTTGGCGTTACAGGCAGGATAAGCTGCTGACTTCATAGATCTGACAGGCTTAAAGGAGTAAAACCTGGACAGATCGTCAGTGTGTCACAGGACAAACAGCTGAATAACCATTTAAAGCTAGCAGTCATGATTTTGGGCTGAGTACCTGGAGAAAACCTGTGCACTGAGAGAACATGAAAACTCCATAATTGGGAAACTTACCCTCTTTTACGAAGTTTGCATATCACTTTCAAAGTTACTGAAATCCATTTTCTTTTCTGTATTGATGCCCAGTTTGAAGGTCAACACACTGTTTTCACCACCTGTAGATGCCTAAAGGCTTCAAATGACTGACTCACTGGCTGGATGTTGACAGGCAATTGAACAGGTGTGCTTAATAAAGTGGCCGGTAGATTTTGTGTGTGTGTGTGTGTGTGTTTATCAATATCAATAACTATTGCAACAGGAATGATTGCTTCCTTATTTTCCAGAAAAACATAAAGTATGTGAGCCACTTCCTTATTGGTAGAAACAAAGACATCCATGTGTTTTGTGTGTTTTAATCTTGTTCTGACTGAAATTCAGCAGTATTCTTTAAACTGACCATTTTCTTATAGAATTTGTCATAATGATCCACTTACTAGTTAAGGATACTTAACCAGAGCATGGAGAATAAAGAGAAAGAGTAAGGCTACATTGTAAAGCCTTAACTCTTAGGTTTCCATTTTTGCCGCTGTTGCCACAAACTCTTGAGGTTACATTATTTTTGAAAATTATAGGTTAGGCTGGCATAAACAATAGGCTCGGTTTAGGAAGGAGGACTGTCTCATGTGCCTATCTTGGAAATAAATAAGTTGTTTCGTAACATGACTTTTTGAATAAGCTGAACGATTTATTGCGTTTCTAGTGTGTCCTATAATTTTGACACTGTTTTTTTCCATCTGGCAGTGTTTCATGGTCTGCTCCGTTTTGAGGTCAGAACAGCCGAACATCCATCTCCATCCCATCCTGTCCACACAGAGTCACATCAGACCTCCATCAACTGAACATTCTTTTGTCACTGCTTAGCCAACGTGTGTATTTGGGACCCATATGTGCGAACACTGGAACAGAACCATGAATAGTTCAAAACAAATTTGACTCTATATGAAGGTCTTTGCTAACTCTGTAGTAGGCATTAAGAAACTCAGTTCAAATAGAGCAACACATAGGCAACATATAAATCCCCTGGTTTACACAACATTGTCCTGCATTAAACCTGCACTTTGCTGCCAAAGGTGTTTCACACACTTTTGAACTTGATCGACTTCTCATTTTTATTCCATAAAGTCTAACATGATGTCGGCCCATCCTTTGCAGCTGAAACAGGTTCAGTCTTTCTGTGAGCGTTTTCCACAAGGTTTCAGAAAGTGATTATGGGAATGCTTAATGATTCTTCCAGAAGAATATTTGTGAAGTCAGACACTGATCTTGGATGGGAAGGCGTGGCTCACAGTCTCCGCTCTTATCCCCCCTGCTTGTGTCAGGTTGAGGTCAGAAGTGTTGCTCTTGAGCAATTGAAAAGGCCAAATGAAATTTGGAGGTCTGTGGCTTCTGGCTATGCACTGAAAAAGAAAAGAGTTGAACCAACTTAATTGAACTGCTTCAATTAGTATCAAGGAATTCAATTAAGTTTATCAGTTTAACTTGACAAATTTAAGTCAGTCTTACTCAAACCATTTAGTTTACTTCAAATAAGGAAGTAAAGTAAAAAAATGATCTTTTTTGGCTCAATCAGCCTTTATTTGAGAGTAGTTGGACAGGAAACTGGGAAATGACAGAGGGGGAAGACATACAGCAAAGTTCATCAGGCTGGAATTGAACCTTCGACGGCCACGTCGAGGACTGAGGTCTCCTCGAAGAAATACTTGGTGGAGAGGTGAGTTTTCCTCAAATAATTTAGAGTCACTTTCCACACACAGATCTGCTATTAGACGGGACTCAACTGTAGTTTAAATAGGCCACTAAGTAACCTATGGACAATCCCTTATGAGACTCCATATGTCAATATTAAATCTGTGATTTGTTGCTTCCTTAGCAACAGTCTTGAAGACGAATGGTAACAAAACTTAAGTTCTCCCCTAACCCCGGATGTCATAACTTTGATGGAGCTCTGCTTGAGTGGCGAGCTAATTGCTAATCTTCTGTCTTGGTCAAACTCGATCTGATTTTTAGACTCTCTCCTTCTTTCTCCTGTCCCTGTCAGTTCCAGAGTGAGTAGTTCTTCTCTCTGTGCTGAGTAAGACCCTAAAATCCTTTAACCGTCTCACCAGACAAAAGAGAGGAACGTGGGAGGAGTGGAGATGAGTACGAAGCAGAAACACACGGAGCTGAAGTGAGGCACAGCAGGAGGCTGTCATAAGAGGAGATAAAAGGGGGTTCAGCAGAAACCCCAAATTTTCTTCCTGGTGTTCCCCTCCTCCCCTGCGTGGCAGCAGAATGTAGGTCTGTGCTAGCCTACAGCCATCAACAACAATCAGTTCTGCCCCAGTTACTGAAGCGTCTCACCGTCTAAACATGCATACGTCACGACACGGAGAAATACACACAGGCAGATGCACTGCGACATGTTTTCAATATGCTTCCAGACACACACACACATACACACACACTCACTGACATGCACACCCACATGACACGCCCACAACACACCCACACAGACGTATGTAAACATTTGAACATGATCATGTTTTCACAGTTTTAACGCAATAAGGACGAGGCTAACCTCAGTTAGCTTCACTCAGGTTTACAGTGACGATTTAAAGCTGTTACAACTTGACAGCCTCACGTCACCGTCTAGTTGAATTTGATGTGCCCTTTTTTTTCTTATTGTCAGTGTTTTCTGCTGTTGCTCCAAAATATAGGACAGTTACTGTGTTAGTCAGACTTTCCTCAAGAGAAACCCGTCAACACATCAGGGCGAAGCAAGCATAAATTTATCAAAATGTATTCCCTGAGCAGTATGGATGGCCCAAAGCGTCTTCTACTGGCTGCTTACAGCCATCACCGCTTCCAGGTCAGCTGCTGGTTGCATCCAAACAAAACACTTCAGATCAGCCATGTGAGGTAAATGTTCGCTGTGTCAGAACATATTTGGCCAACGTGTTTCCATCTCCCCTTCAGCGCATTGAGAGAGGAGGGTTTGTTTAAAAACCTAAAGGTCAGGACGACTGACCCCTGGGAAAGGCAATAAAAAAAAATACATTTTGAAAAGGCTAATTACAAAGAAATTCAGTGAATTACTACAAATTCCACAAATAACCATTTCATTATTTCCATTTTAGATATAATCTTTCATATTTTCTCCCATCAGTCAAGGAAAATAACTAGTTGGCCACTATAATGAAAGCTGACAACATGTGAGTCACTTTAATCACAACTGTCATCCATGTTGGGGCGACATTCCTCTGAATAAACCATAGTGAAGAGACTCATTGTACTTTTATTTGAGGAAAGTAGAGGAGAAAAAAGACAAGTTCCTCTTTTTAATCCTAATTGATCATTTTGGGTTGTTGTCATGGACAGAATATGACAGAAGGACAGTGACGAGGATTACAGCGTCACACTATGAGCCCTTGTGTTTAACAACAACAAAAACCACACCACCTAATAAATTAGATCCAGCAGCAAACGTGAACTGATTCATTCAGAATCATGGCACAGAGGCTGCTATGCAGAAAGACAGACGTGTTGCATCCCAGGGGAGCTGATTAGGGTACGACATGTCAGACACTCCCCTCAGTTCCTCACCATGTGCCATGCCAACATCGGTGCTTTTCTGCCTATAGATCAGACTCTCTGCTCACATGTGAAGCAAAGACATTTCCTCCATGCACTTGGTTATGGTGTTACCATTCCCTTATTCAGTTTGATGAATAATCCATGAACTGGATCTGGTGCAGCACTTCAATCTTTACATTTTGGAATCCAGCACATAGGGAGAAAATGCATATATACACACACTTATCATGCAGTCTTTAGCTGGTTTTCTGTCTACACAGTATTCAAATTAGAGAGTCACATGTAACTTACTAAATCCAGCCAGCCATCCATCTTTTAAAGGTTTTGTTTAACCTTTATTTTACCAGGGTCTCCCTTGAGAATTTTTGAGGCAGACATGACCAAGAGGTACACCGGAGTACAGTGTACAAAATAATAAAGGTACAAACAATCAAAATATCACGAAATTCACTCAAGTACCAACAACAGCAAAAAATAAATAGAGCCAAAAGTAGAACATAAAATAATTTAAAAAGGGCTTAAAATGGTGAGAGGTGAGGTGCAGCCAGTTTCACAGGGCTAATTTTCTATATCCCAACTTTTAAGTAAAACATAAGAAGGCATGGGGAAGAAAGTTATAATAGTACTAAGGTGTTCTTCCCCAAATGAAAAAAAAAAAAAAACCCAAGGGAATAATTATTCTAATTGGTGGAATGTTAACTGCCAGGTCGTCTGACTGGTTGCCAGATATGGCTGATGCCAGGTCACCAATCTTGTCATCAACACCAAGCATTAAGACTCAGTATTGAAGATCAAGCAGGACTATTATTATTTCAATACCCAACCTCCTCCATCTCACACTGTACCTCACAACAACTTTGTTGGTAACAGATCCATGGACGATCAGGGGTCTTTTAAGCCCCTTCATATCAAAGTTCCCCCAAATTGTTTTTTGGGAGAACAGTCACAACTGTGTGATTGTCAGGACAGTGTGGTAAAAGAAATCTTTGATCTCAAGGAATTTTATCTTGTTTAGATAAAGCTTGAAGAAGAACACACAATACCTGAAACCCTGCCTAAGGGTCACTTCTCATCATATCAGTTAATCCAGTACAGGGTTGTGTGTTCTTCAAAATGCCGCCAGTTCTGTGGTGTAAAAGGTGGTTGACATTTAAATGTGCAACATTTGCCATAGTCTGCTTAGTCCAGCTCATTTTTTCACAAGTTCGCTGTCAGTGTTTTAAACATCCAATATGTTTTGGCCATCTTGCTGTTAATTTTATTGGAAGTCCAAAAAGAAGGAAGTTGTTCCATCCGTTTTCTGGAGAACACCAGTATCAGTGCAGTGACAGATAATCTCACCATGATTAAAAAAACAAACCCACCACTATGCTACAAAGTAAGCACAGTATTTTGATGTTTGAAAGCCTGACCTTGACACCTCCAAACGCATTTCATCATTTTTTTTCCCTGAGTCGGCACATTTTAAAGTCCATATTGATGTTAAACCTGACCAGAGACATTGATACTGGTATTCCACCATCTTCCAATTGATTACTAAGACAGGACCTCCTGGTTTCTGGATGGCTCCTGATGATTGTAACCAATTTTCTTTCATCTAAAGCTGGCAGATGGGGAGAGAAGATAGAAACTTGGTACAACTTGGAACAATGATTCCAAAACAGCCTGTTAAGCATCTGGCATTTCCCCTGTCCATGCCAGCAACAACGTGACCTAAACTGGATCAATAACACGCACTGCACCTCAACTGTTAATAGTCCCATCCCTTCACTGTGTGTCTCATCACTCTCAGATATACAGTACAGAATACTGTCAAAGCAATGGTAATTTAATACTCCTACACAATCCCATGCTGTCAAAAGACAACTGGAAGCGTTCGATAGATGAACTCCCAGAGAGCAGACTCGGTCAATTTACATTCAGTAAGTCAAAGGTAACAAAAGGTAATGACTGCACAGAATGTCTTCCTTCATTCAGACACGTTGTCTGCTGAGTGGCCCAGATACATCACACCGTCTGGGTGCAGCATATCAGCACAGCCTCTGATCAAAGAGCAGAGAGGAAACACAGAAACTGTGCCAAGACTAGAGAGAGAGAGAGAGAAAGGGTAGAAAATAAAACTAAACACAAAGTCACAAGGGGAAGTTTGGGGGAAAACATATTTGTCATATAGAAGAACATTTGAAAGTTGAAGAAAAGAGTGACAAAGATAGAGATGGATGTCAGAGGAAGAGGCTATGGGAGGATGGTGAAAGCACCGCTGGGAGCCTGATGATCTGTAGGAGAACTGGATTGGGACTAAGCACTTTCATTTTTAAATGCACTGTAGTTCACGGTTTGCGGCTACAAAGAGAGTTCACAACAGCTACGTCTGAAGAGACGGGATCTTAATCGCTTTCAGAAGTTCTGAGTTTGGTGTTGATTACATGATCATGGAGCCAGGGAATGTCAGACCCTACACATGAAAGCCACAAGCAATAAGACAGGAATTTGCCAGTTTTACAGCCGTGCCACAAAAATATGCCTATTAAACTGTTTGTATTCAAAAATGTAAGCAATATAAAAATTGTCAGGAATCTTCTCCTGTCTCCAAATGTTCCCATTCTTATCCCATGGTGTCAAAACAAGGATATGATTTTGCAGTGGCTAAATAAAACATAGAAAGACTCTCAAAGAATTAAGGTGTAACAAAGAATGTTTTAGCTGGAAAGACTAAAATTTAATGACTTGTGGGTCGTTGTCGCCATGCATGAAGTCCATGCAGCATGTGCGTTGTGAACTTTAAGCGTCTCAACGCGAGACCTCGGTTACTTAAAATGTTTTTGATAGTTTAGCTCTGCCCTCTTGTGGTCAGTTTATGCAAAAACAATCTGCTGAAGTTTTATTAAGTTTTCATTTTACTGCTCCATTGCATTTTATAGCGTCACATGATTTAGATAAAGGAAAACTTTAGAATAACTTTGCTCTTCTGGCCACCTGACTCTTAGATGTTTCCTTTAGAAGGTGATTTCCTACATCTACTTCACGATTTTCAATAAACTTTACTGGCAACCTTTAGTTTAGAGGCTCAACCACGACATATTGACACTTTATGAGAAAGTATTAAAAACAAGAATTTCCTGTTTGCTGAGAAATAATGTTTCCGTCTAATCCGCTGGTGTTTCTATTCTGTCCACAGAGCCAATGTTTTGTGGGTTTCCATTTTAGCATGTCTTGTGTAGAAGAAATTCCAATGAATTAACAGTAAGTGATGATAAGGTAAAAATAAATAAATAAATAAATAAATAAATAAATACAGATACACATACGAAAAGCAATAATAATTTAAAATGATAAACATAAAAATAGAAATAGAACAATTAGGTTCTGGGAAATCTGTAACATTTATACTAGAATTAGTTGCATAAAGTGCAGTTCTACAGTTTGTTCCATGTACTATAATATACTATTTTGTTTGTTTGTTTGTTTTACTTACATAATGCCATTTTTTCAGCAAATATTTCAGCACTAGTATGGGTTGTTATTTTTTTTATTTTTTATTTTTTCGCTGGTTATATAGAGAAGATTATTCTTTATAATATTTAGGAATGTCAACAAGCTGACACGAGACTGAATTAATTTTGCCAAGCCCTACTGTATCCGGCCAATCCCTTACTAGCTTAATGCCCTAATTGCCAATCACAACAATGCATCCCTCCCACATTCTACTTTTCTTTCATACACTCTGACGCTGACTATGTTGAAATAATTCTTAAGTTCTCGGGCGCTCATGGCTCCAGTAGCTCTTACCCAATCAGAAGATAAGAATCCAACCCAGTTATGAGTCTGACACAATCTCATTGGTGTATTATCCAAACGTAGTGGCCTTATGGGCGGAGTCTGTGGCGCTACGTCGAGTTCCGTCTAGCGGTTAGCAGGGAGGTAGTAGTCCAGTCTGCCTCTGTAGGAAGGAGGAGGACAGCTGGCTGCCTTTTATATCCAAACTTACAGCACAGAGGTGAGTGATCAACCGCACAATACAGCATATGTAGAACATGTTTTCCACTGTATTATACACCAGTATGCATTTATAATAATGACACAATGTCTAGAGCTATGACGTGCTGGTGACAGTCAGCTGTTTTAAATTCGACTTTAGTTTAAAAAAGTCGAATTTTTTAAATAAAAAAAATGCGCGTGCACAAGCAAATAAAGAATGGCCCATAAACCTGACAGCGTATTCCTGCCTCATGCGTATAAAATAAATGGTGTTTGTTGAGCATTACGAAACCTGTCTCCCCTCCCTCGCTCTCAGTGCAAAAACAAGAAGCTACAAGGACGAGTCATTTCCCCCTTCTATTTATTATTTTATTACACAAATTTAATTACAGTAAAACAGTTTATTAGTTTGTTGCGCTTCGTCTTTAGTCTGACCTATATATTCACTGCTTTCAATGTACGCGTTGCTCGACTGTTTCATTAACTCAGAAGGACACATTAGGGCTCCGCCTGCTGTTGTAGTAAAACGTAATTGAGTTTGTGATATTCAGTTAAAATGCTTTGTTCAGTAGTTTAGTAGTAGTACTACTGTGGTTGTCTGTACGTGTTGATGTGAATGAAATTGTCTCTGAAGAAATGCACTTTAGTTCCACTTTATGATCCTTATTATGTGAACAGTGATGTTTACCTTATCAAAATGACCTTAAAACTCACTTAACATGTACTGTGGGTATTCTTAAAGGTAATACAATGAAAAATGAAGTTGAAAAGCAGTTATTTTTCTTTCGTTTGATTTTGCCATATGATGGTAATTTCCATCTGCAGGCTCTGGTTAATATGACAAGAGTGCAACATTAAACCTCATGATTCAATAAATTTCAAAAGCAGTTAATAACATATAAAGTACTTTCAGTGATGGGTATAATGAGAACACATGGGAACTGCTCTAAATGAGGCCCCTGATTTGGAAGTTTGTTATACTTTGCTGACATTTGTTGCTTGGACACTTGGTTGTCACTGATTGCGTACAAAGTACAGGACGCTGCTGCAAGATGGATCCTAAACCTGATAATGTGATTCTCTCAGCAGAGGTGAAGGCTGCAGAGACCATGGAGTCCAAAAGGAGGCGCCCTCAGCACCATGCCAATGGAAAAGGGTCTGAAGCTGTGGAGAAGTCAGCACAGTGGGGGAGAGCATGGTGAGTAACTGAAGCTGCACAAGCTTATTTGATCCAAAAGAGTAAAAAAATCCATTGACTTGTCCTATTTTGTGATTCAAGAAGGTTTTACCTTGTGAAATAGTTTCACAACAGAAACACCCGATAAAATCCATTTACGTGATATGGACCAGTGTCCTGCAAAAGTACAAATTAATCCTGAGCTTGTTGCACTTTATGTCATGACAAATGTTTGTGTCATGACATATGTTTATGTCACTTTATGTCTTTTTGTCTTTATAAAAGACAAACTTAAATTGAAATTAAATAAAAAACAAAATAGGGCTTTAATGGAAAGAACGTAACATATCCATATATCAGCGTTATCCTACCATTAACCCCGCCCCCCAAGAAGATCACAGCATTTGAGCCACACCTTTTGCCCTTTTCACAATCTTTCGAAATCGCCAAAGTTAACAAAAGCAGGTCGAAAAGACGTACTTCTACTCTGTGTCACTGATCACATGTACTGAGTCAGCTGCGTTCGCATGCGGTGAAAACACACTGGCTGTCATGACAAGCGCTGCTAATCCACCTCATTTGATTTGAAGCTATCATGTTTTGATAGTTTTTATGATTAGTATTTTTTTTTTGGCATTAGTTGAAACTACATACCTCTTCATGTAGAAAATCTTCTGACCCACCTCCTGTGTTTCTGATCCGTTCCCAGGGAGGTGGACTGGTTTTCCCTGATCGGTGTCGTCAGCCTGCTTTGCTTCGCTCCCTTCATCGTCTTTTACTTTGTGATGGCCTGCGATCAGTACGAGTGCTCCATCAGCCAGCCTCTGCTAGAGCTGTGCCAAGGAAAGGCAACCTTGCTGTCCATCTGGGCCCGGGCCCCCTCCTTCACATGGACTGCTGCTAAGATATACACCATCTGGGTGAGCTTTCAGGTAAGTAGAAGAGGGATCAGGCCCTGCCTCACACAGGAGCTTTGCATTTTCTTCAAACTCAAATAAAGCATCTTGTTCTTCAGGTGTTCCTCTACGTGTGTATTCCTGACGTCACCCATAAGTTTATTCCGGGCTACGTGGGTGGAGTGCAAGATGGAGCTCGTACCCCTGCTGGTATATGCTTCCTCCTTCCATGAAACAGTTGTGAAAGAAATGTCTTATTTCTTCTTAACGTATATTTGTTTTCTTCTTCTCCCAAGGTTTTATTAACAAATATGAGATCAACGGGCTGCAGTGTTGGATCATCACCCATGCTCTGTGGTTTGCAAACGCCAATTATTTCCACTGGTTTTCTCCTACCATTATATTTGACAACTGGATCCCCCTGTTGTGGTGTACCAATATCCTGGGCTATGCTGTGTCTACCTTTGCCTTTGTAAAGGCCTACCTGTTCCCCACCAGTGCTGAGGACTGGTGAGATCAGCTGCTGAACTCCACATTGTCTCAGGTATTATAAAGGTAACACAAAGTTTACCCACTTGCTTTCTTTGTCCCTTCACAGTAAGTTTACAGGGAACATATTTTATAACTACATGATGGGGATAGAGTTCAACCCTCGCATCGGCAAGTGGTTTGACTTCAAGCTGTTCTTCAATGGCAGACCTGGCATTGTCGCCTGGACCCTGATTAATCTGTCTTACATGGCCAAGCAGCAAGAGCTGTACGGTCATGTCACCAACTCCATGATTCTGGTCAACGTGCTGCAGGTAAAATAGAAAGATCAGCTCCTTAAAGCTGCAGTATGTAACTTTATAAAAAATAGGGTTTTTTACATATTTGTCAAAACTGTTACCTTTCTTTTTTGTTGTGAAAAAAAGAAAATCAAACTTATCTGTTCTAACTAGAAACCAGTCAGAGCCAGGGGGTGGGCCTCAGTGCTGTCAGTCACCCTCAGTGTGGAGCTACTCATCCCTCCTCTCCCTCTCTCTTTTCCTCTCTTCTATGCTACTGTTAGCAGATCGTGTTGTGAATGCTCAGGGTAGTTAGCATAGCCACCAAAGACAGCAGCTAAGCAGTTTTCTGTAACAGTAAGTTGTTTCTCTGTCATTAGCACATTGAGCAGCGCGTACATGAAGTTGATTGACAGCATTAAGACCCTCCTCTTTGCCCTGATTGGTTCATTTTGTTCAGAAGCGGTAGTAGCTCAAGAAGGAGGTGGAAGAGATTGAAATTTTGACAGATTATCTGTCTCATATTAAATTGTCATGACATGGTGATAGCTTGGTGATATGTCAAAAACCTCATCTTTATAAAAGTGACTTACTACAGCTTTAACACCTTAACTCATAAAGAGTCTGGAGTCTTCATGAACCCATTGACCAGCATGTGAGTGTTTCTAGAAGCACTAGAAATTGTAGGTAATATCTGTAAGACCTGAACTTTGAAGTGCAATGCGAGAACATTTAGTCTGCCACCAGCACAAAGTTGCTGCCTGAGTCAGGTTGATTAAAACCGACCTTTACATGAGCTGTGACAAAGCTGCTGTTCCCTCACTGATCAAAGCTTCCTACTGGGAAGCTCTATTGGTTACTTTGGATCATCTTAATCTCTTCTCCTTTACTTTTCTGCCTGATTCAGACTACTGAATCCGAACTAATTCTAAAATGATACATCATATGTAGAGGTGTGCCGATCGATCGATCTCCTCTGCCTCCTCTCTGTGTTCTGCAGAATTACTCTGCTCAGTCAGAAACAGCCAATCAGAACCAGCATTAATCAGCTAGCCAAGCTATCAGGAAGTTTTGATTCAGTAACTCAGCATTGTCTATTTTGATCAAATCTGAATTTGACTTTAAATGAATGTTTGCTTTTTTACTTGACATTATTTGATAATGTCAGTGTTATGAGATTGATTTGACTTGTATAATTTAGGCTGTTGAGAATATTACTGTTAAATATTATTTTACCGATTGCAGGTTTTCCAGTTGTCCTGTGTCTACCTTTGACGGAATAGCGGCTGTATTTTGCCTGCAAAAATTTAACATGTTTTATGTCTAAGTTAGGTGAATATATTGCTAGATCACATAGTATCATTTATACCTAAAGCAAAAAATTAACAGCCAATCCAGATTATCAGCAATGATCAGTGATCAGGCTTCATGGGTGATCGGAATCGGCAGCAAAAAACCTGATCGGAGCATCCCTAATCATGTCACATGAACAATGTGGAATAGTTTTAATTTATTTGATCATTTATAATCATTATAGAACAAAACCCAGGATTAGATTTGTTTTCAGCTTGTTGCATTATTCAGATTTTTTTATATAACATAACCTTCATAGTTATGGCAACATAGGTTTTTATCCTTCCCAGTATAATTCATTCAGCACTAAACTAAAATAAGAAGTGAATGTTATATTAATAATGTCAGTGGCAAAATCTGTTTGTTGCCTCGTAGGGGATTTATGTGCTGGATTTCTTCTGGAATGAGGCGTGGTACCTGAAGACCATTGATATCTGCCATGACCACTTTGGGTGGTATCTAGGCTGGGGGGACTGTGTGTGGCTGCCATACCTCTACACCCTGCAGGTAACACACACACACACACACACACACACACCACAAAGTCTCCATGTCACACTAAATGGTTAATATGTTGTGAAAAGGTTTTTCTGCAATAAGTTAACTAGAAAAGTGTCAGAAAGCATCTGATAATCAACATGGGAAGAGTTGCAACACTAGGCCTGTCACAATGACACAATTACCTGGGTGATTAATTGTCCCAGAAATTATTGTGATAAATGATAATATTATTGTTTTAAGACCATTGCTAATAGTATAAAAATGACATATTAGGCAATGACAATTAAATAAAAGAGCAGTCATCTTTTGAGAAAACTACCCTTTTAAGAAAACTGTCTTAGTTTGCTATATTTTGCACTGTCCTTTAGTATTTTTGCATTGTACCCGATCTAGAATTTTTTTCAGTTCCGGGACAGATACAGATATTAATATTGGATCGGTGCATCTGCAATATTTAGGGACTTTTCAGACAATCGAAACGGTAATGGCTATAATCAGAATAAGGAGGTCCAGCTTTTTAAAGGTTAGTAATACCACTCATTGGTAAAATCCCATTGAGTGATCTCTTTTTTCCCCATCTTTCCTGTAATTGTTACAACTTTCCCTGTTAATAGAGCAGATTATAACAAAGGAACCCCATAAGATACTTGGTGGGAGGGGGTTATAGAAAAATACAGAGCAGTCCTGCAAAGAAACCTGATTGGGTTTCTGGACAGAACTACCATGTATTACTGTAGTCCTGACTGCACTGAAGTCTGAGCTGCAATGTAATGTGAAAATATTCATAGCTTACCAATAGTTTAAAATGCACTGTACATGAAAGTTGACTTACACTAACTGATCTTACTCGTGGCTGAAAGCCTTAGACAGTTGATGTGTTGTTATGTTTCTGGCTCTTAGGGCCTGTACCTGGTGTACCATCCAGTCCAGCTATCAGACGCTCACGCTCTCGCCGTGCTGTTGCTCGGGCTCGTTGGGTATTACATTTTCCGCTCCACCAACCATCAGAAAGATCTGTTCCGCCGCACGGAGGGCGCCTGCTCCATCTGGAGGCGTAAGCCCACCTACATCGAGTGCTCGTACCTGTCCGCCGACGGCCGCAGCCACCGCAGCAAGCTTCTGACCTCGGGGTTCTGGGGAGTGGCGCGCCACTTCAACTACACTGGCGACCTGATGGGCTCCTTGGCATACTGTGCTGCCTGTGGCTTTGGCCACATTCTCCCATACTTCTACATAGTTTACATGACCATCCTGCTGGTCCACCGCTGTGTGCGAGACGAACACCGCTGCAGCAGCAAGTACGGGAAAGACTGGAGACGTTACACCGACACAGTACCTTACAGGCTGATTCCTGGACTGTTTTAAAGAGATGCAGAGGAAGAGTTGGAAAAGCATTCAAATGATGAATGCTTGGTTAAACAAGATAAGCTTGGCTCCTCCCACTGAACATTCTCCTCTGAACTTCAGACTCTGCACTGCGAACTCATCCCTATAACCCACTGCCAAATGAAGACAGTTTGATAGTTTTTGGTTTCCATGGAGCGACAGTGTGCCATCATGCAGGACATTTGATAAAAAGATGTATTTTTTTTTAAAAACAGCCTCAGCAATCATCAGAAACAAAGTTTCTTGTTTAAAACACTGAACGCCATGTGCTTCAAAGTGAGGGTCACGGCCCCTGGGGAGGAAAGGGGCCATTATAACTGCAGTTTACTCATTTGTATTTGTGAACAAACAGAGCTCAATCTCAAAGATCAAAGTCAGAGCATCAGATTGTAGCTATGGTAACAAAGCAATCTAACTATGAAGATTGTTCTTTGAATTTTTACAAAGTAAACTTGCCAGCTCCTTAAAATCTTACATTTAACATTTATCTGTGCTGAAACCATTAAATCAAATTTAACAACATTGATATTCTCAGTATCAAATGTCACATTTATATTTCTGTGATCTGTGTTAAAATATTAGCATTTATGGGGCCCCTGAATCCGCGGAGGGCCCTATGGAGCCGCCAACTTAATTTGGATTAAACAGAAGTGTGAATAATTGATATTCATTTTAATTGTATTTTTTTGTTTTAAGACTAGTTGTGAATAGCATTTCATGGGTGATGTTTTCCCGTAACATACAATTACCTAGTGATATTTTTACATTTCCTGTCTACTTAACATGTTTTAATTCAAAAAAACAGGAGATGGACCTCCTCAGCGCCACGACCACAAGGCTTAGCAAGTTCTCTGGGGGAAACCCTGACAGTAGATGGGTGTTTGACAAGGTGGGGGTGTAAAATGTTCTTACAATTAAATGGGGAGTGTTGAGAAAATAAATTTAAAATAAGCTAGTTTTTAAGCTTAACATGTCTTGATTCAAATGGCCTAAATTGTGGTTTTAAATCAGTGACTTATTCTGGCCTATTGACCTTTATTTTACCTGTAGTTCCAGCTGGGATCGTTTGAATTGCCTTTTGTCTGTGAGAAAACAATACAGTGGAAGTTCCAGCTTTTCACACTCATCTGTGAGAGGCTGTAAACACGGCAGGGGTTTTAGGCTTCAGATAGAGGGTCAGAGATAGCTCCTGGTTGGAGGAGAAAAGGTACGCCTTATTTGAATAAATAAAATACAAGAGGATAAAACTTTCTACACAGAAGTAACAAATTAGATTTTGCGCTTGCAACTTCTCCAAAGACGTCTTTGCCTTTTCTTTTTGTCTCAGGTAATCAATGTATGTTTCTGTTGTTCTGCAGTTTCTGGTGTAAGTTTGTGCATTGTCTTACTTCTAAGTTTATGCATTGTCTTATATTGGATTAAATTCTGTAATTCTGTGATGTCAACACGCATAGTTGTTTTCCTTGTGGCTACACGTGGCCTGCCGAGAGGACCTGGGATCTAAGGAAGAGAGAGAGCCAAACTTTTTTCCAAAGTTAACTATTTTAGAAATTCTTCCTTAACAGGAGCCAGCAGNAAAGAAGTGGGAACCACTGAGCTATAGGATATCTGGGATGAAAGGATACATCTCAATTTATCAGCCTTTTCTTTTAAAGCATTCCGGATTCAAATTTGTGTGATGCTGATCTTTTTTTTTCACTTTATCAAAAATATATGGATTCTTGTTTGTAATAATTATAATGGACGCAAGCTGTAGTGGGCTCTTACTGCTTGAAACCCTTAAAATGTCCTGAGGACAAGAGGACTTACATGTTATCTATTGGTCCCGTTGGATAACATCAAAGTTTTGAGGGTGACAGTTTTCTCAACCAAATATCTTCCACCTTTACTGTACTCAATGTCACTGTTAGATCTAACTTAATTGTTGAGTCTCATTTATGAGAATCCTCCACATTATGCAAGTCATAACAATTACTGAGTTCATGATAACTCAATCAAAATTCATCCACATTCCAGCTCCAAGGAAATGTTTTTCTTTCAAAAAAAGTATGTTTCCTGTATTTTACAATTTCTCAAACTGACATTGCAACCATCCAGCAATAAACTAAAAACAGATCTTTTAAGTTCAGTGATGATTTTTGCTTTGTTTTCATACACTGTCATTAAGGAAATCTTAATAAACATGTTCAGGCGTTTGTTTTTTGTTAGACACTGACATCATTATGGCATAAAGTCAGTCTTTGTCATTTTTAGTGTTAGCACTAGAGGGCAGCAGATACCTTTTCTTCAAAACGGAATAGCCTTTTTTCATAAATGTTCAACAGTTATAAATGCATAAAAATAATTTAGAGCTTGCTGATGCTGCTCTTTAATTGACTCATCCTACAATTATTACACTGTTGTACCATAAAATGAGTGAAGGACTAACAAAAAGCATTTTTAAAGGCTGCACTATTAGTTCTGTTCCTATACATAATCAGTAGTGGAAAAAAATGGTTTCTGATATACACCATTTAAATTATATGGCTTTTGTTAGTTCATTGAAATTCAAGTCAGTTATAGTTATGTAAATAGTTTTGCTTGCAAGAATCTTAAGAGTTTAGAACATCCCCCTCTGGTGGTCATCTTGTAAGCAGCGATATCGAGTGAAATTATGTTTTACAAATACAAGCTGAAGTGCATGACAATAGGTCAAAACAGAGACTAAAGGTAACCAGAGACAATGTAATGGAAATAGTACAGTTTTGACCCAGAATGAGAACCACAACCCAGGTACGGTTGAATGAGTTTTATGGACAGCAACTGCATCATCGGCACGGCTTTCTGGACAGACTACATGAAGGGCATAGGTTGGTTCAAATTCAAAAATACTGTATCGATTCCAAAGATAACTTAAATGAGTGTCACGTTATAATGAGTGATGAGTGATGGGCAACATAAACAGGGAGTACTGTGCAATCAGCAAATGAATAGTTACCCGACAGAAGTGGTTTCCACCATCTCTTTGGAGATTTGGACCATGACGGACTTGAATCCTCTGTGATGCAACGGTGAAGGAGTAGAAGGTGTCCTTTCTCCAGGGATTGTTTCAGTCACGGAGAAGACAATGTCACAGAGTTCGGAAATACCGATACCAGGATGAGTAAGATGACACTCACTAATGCCATGAGCAGAGCTCACCATGGGAAAGGCATGGTTGTCAGTCCGCAATCCCATAATCAAAGGTTGGGGAGACAATCCTGGTCAGCAGCAGAGCAGGCAAAACAGATCAAGAAACTGTGACGCTGTAATCAAAGTCAAGGTGTGATACGCAAGTTTCAGAGCCACAATCAGAGTATCTCAAAAGTACCTTTGTGACAAGTTTGCGCTGAGTGAGTGTTCTCCAGAGTCCTGCTAATGACCTAATTATTTGACTTGGGTATTTAGAGGCAGAGACATCTAAAGGTTGCAGGACCCCAGCTCTCGAGGCCCGGATTTGAGGTCGACTGATATACACAGCGGCAAAAAGTCAGCGGAGTTGGGAGGGGCAGGGAAGATCATCACAGACAATCCTTACCGGACTCATTAGGTTGATGCAATCTGATGGGATTACAGTTTGGGTATGCATGAGGCTAGGTCCTGCAATTGCTCGGCATTTGTCCAGATGCTACCCGACTGTATGGGCACCCTCACGTACTCATCAGTCCTGACATCAGCTTACTGCAGCATCTCTCAAACCCCATCATGTTGAAACATTTCACAATAAAAGTACACAAGCCTTATGCATACGCAAAATAAAACTGCTGTTAAACTCTGTCAAGTTGTGGGTAACCTGGGTTGTCTGGTAACCTTCACTCACTCGTTTGATTTACTGTTTAATCTCCCAGTAATTCCCTGCTGTATTATTCTGATGATGTCAGAATGTTTGCCCTCATTTGCCTGTTCATGATATGCCAGGTACATGTTCTTACAAGTCCTTAACTTGATGCTAAACTTATTTTCTTTTGCCAAAGTGTGCACATTGCAACTATTACATAGAACTTGTAAATGACTGTCACACCACACTACTCTCAGTTAAATTTCTTAAAACTACAAACTCACCTCCCAAAATATCGTTTTTTTTAAAGACAACTCCTAATGATCCGTCATACCTGGCAGCTTATTCTGCCGTGTCAGCGCAATCCAGGCCTGTATCCTGGAGCTCAAACCTTCAGCAGCTTTCTTCTCAGTATCATGACACATTATGGATGTAAATTAGCTATGGAAACAGAAGGCGTATTGATTCCTCTTACCTGCGTTGCCATTTGCAGCCGATTCATTATATTGCATTATGTAGAACCAAATTGCCTTTGATTGTTGTCTCAGGCCAACTTCTTCACCGATTGCGACCGAAGGCAAGGAAGAGTTGCCCGTGTCTGAGTTCACTCATTGTCAAATTGACAAACAGCTCACTGTGAATGGAAATCTAGAGATCTTTATGCGATGACACTAAAAGCTAGACTATTGAATTTTCCAGCGAGGGGATCATTCACCCATCCATATAAACGTCCAGTGTACACAGTAACCATATTGTCGGAGCGCCCCTCAATTTTGCAGCTGGACATTTTTCTTTAGTGAAGGGCGGTTGGGGGTCACAGAGTGGGAAGGAACTGTAGCACAGCGAGGAGTGGGAATGAATGACACAGATACTGAGAGGCGACGGCAGAGAGGGAAAAGCAGACGGAGAAATAAAGTACGCTCAGTGGGACACTTGGAGCTGGTGCCACTCCTCAACAAAAGTTGGCTTGATTTCCCAAAAGACTAAATTAGTTTTTATTGGCAGCTGGGGTGTGTACGTTACTGCTGGGTAATAGTTATAAGGTACAAGGAAAGAAGCACCACAGAGAGAGGAAAGTGGATGATTCGTCAGCAAACTGCAGTCACTGATAATTCATCTGAACCCAGCAGAGTGTTTCAGTCCACAGTGGGGATATAATCACATTGTGGCTGCTGAGGCTGGATTGACTAGCTGATTGCGGTCGGTAGCAGAGGAGTCATTTTAACCATCATAGCTTTGATTTCTTTTACTTTGGATTGGATGGTTGCACTTCATCAGTTGTATTTCCTCGTTTCTTGTTCCTCAACACACGAATATGAAAAATAAAACTTCTCTGTGGAGCTCCAAATCCTTACTCTGAGTCACAGTCTTTCTAAGCTAATTAAACGCTGGCATATGCTTTGAAACTCTAAATATTTTATTCATTTTATTAGTTTCAAACAGTGTCAGCCAAGGTAACAATCTATTATGACTTCAGAGATCCAGATTTACTTTACATGGG